ACATTGCTGCCACTACTATGTCACCACAGCTGTTGCTTCTCAAGCCACTACTATTTTGCAGATGTTAAGCTTGTCTATTTTAAGCAGGGATAGAAAATGGCTGAAAATCCAGTCAACTCTATATCAAACATTTTATTTGAGATGAATTGCATTTAAGATGAATTTCAAAATAATTCCTTACTTAATACACAAGTTGCTAGGAAACTATTAGTTACAATCAGAGATGGATGGAGTCAATCGAGTAGCAAGTTATTGAAAAATGAAAGACTTCAATACAGTCAGCATTTATCAATGGGAATTAAGTTTGTCAATCTCAGCCAGGACAAATGTCAGGCTGCTACAATTTACCTCTGTACCTTAGGCAAGAGAAAAGAAAAATGTAGCAGTGATTCCTGCTCCTGATTACTACTAGTAACTGCTGGTAGAAAATGTGCTTGAGTGAATGTTGGATAAGGACACAATTAAGCTTGGCCATGATTCTAGGATGAGATGAAAAATAAAGCCTCAAAACTGATGCCAAAGTACATAAGATATTCAACTCTAAAAGCTACAGTATGGCACAATATTTTGTTACTGGCTTCCTGCAATTCAATAATTCCACACAAGTTTCCAAACAAAACAGTTTGCAGATAAAACATTTTTTTAAAAAGTGACCATAAGTAAAGGTAATAGGCCTACTAATGTAAGAACAATGGCAATGGCACAAATATAGTTAAGAATATTGTCACATTGCCAGGTACTGGAAAAACTGCACACCACAGAACATCATTAAATTATGAATAAGTTGTACCTTTGATCTCAAGCAGCAACAGTACACAATATACATTATTCAATAGTATATCAGAAAAACATACATTTGATCCTATACATCAATATACTTCCACTACGCTTAAATTGTTCCAGAAAAAATTAGAATGGAAAATATAATCATCCTTGCATTTGATACACGGTGTTTCACGCAGAGAGAGTCCACTGAATCCAAAAAAATATTTATTTGTGTATCAACCTGGCTCAACAACTGTAGCACTCTCATCCCTGAGTCAGGTGGTTGTGAGTTCAGTCAGGGCATTGAGCTTCCAGTCTTGGCTGACACTACAATACAGTGCTGGGGGAAGTGCTGCATTGTAAGAAGTGTCATCCTTCGGATGAGACGTTAACCTGAAGTCTCATGTGCCCATTCAGGTGAATTAATTAAAGATCCTAAGGCACAATTCAAAAAAAAAAGGAAGTTTATCTCGGTGTTCTGGGCAACAATCCCCCAGATTAAAAAAAATGACGATTCACTTCATGGCATTTGCTCAACATTGCTGTGTACAAATTAGCTGTCATGTTCGCCTACAAATAGTCACCACACTTTACAGTAAAATCTGTGAAACTTTTTGAGATGTCCTCCCAATGTGAAAGTGCTGTAGCAAATACAATGACTAATATTACGCACATCTAGGTTCTACTTTTACATATAAGGTACTCCTGCAGGGATACGTTTGCACTTAATATTTTCATAAGATAGAAGAGTAAGGTTTAAATGAACTCTCATTTCAACACCATATTGAACAACTCTCAAGTCCTTATTAAGTCCAAATTCATCCAAGATTTAAACACTCTTCCTAGAAATGACGATGTTCTTCTTACAACCCCTCACACACCCTTGAACAAAATATATGAATTGGCTCGTTATGATAGGTGGTCCTCCTCTCAATTGTGACCTCGATCCTTTCAGGTCACTCTTTTTCATTATTGCTCCTTCTTATTTGGTCTCAACTTCTTTCTTACAAAATAATATTCAAAATATTGAATGCAACAGCTGGCAATGTGGGATTTCTTTGGGGACTGCAAACAATTTGTAACTAAAGAATATTTGAGGTTGTGAAGGCACATAATAATCCCTCCAAAACAAAAACAATAACAAAATTGGTCATTTTCAATCTACGACTGTTTGTGGGACATTGCTGTGCGCAATTGGCTGCCGCGTTCGCCCACAAATATACAGTCAATTCACTTTATAGTGTGTTCTGTGAAGCGCTTTGGGACGTCCTCCCGACGTGAAAAGCGCTATATCAAATGCAAGGATTATTATTATTATTATTTTTTAAAAAAGTTTTAATTATGTCTAGCCATGCAAGTTGCCATGCTAATTTAAGACTTCAACATCTTACATATCTTATTACCATACTGCTTAAAAAACATTCACATTTAATTTCCCTCTCCAATCAACAGATTTCAATTGAAAAGCTGGAATGTAGGTCCTCACCAAACCACAGTAATTATTTTGGTTACACAGATGCAAATAGCATCCTATTTACAGATACTTGCAACAGGTTCCGCTTCACAAACCTGCTTTGCACTGTACTGTATGTAGCTTGCATCTCTCGGCGAGCGGAAATAGTTTCTTGGTATATTTGAAAACAAATTTATAATGTTTCCCTTATGTGACCATGCTCAGAGAACTGACTGCATATGAATCGGCTTCCTGTGCATGCATGCATAGAAAAATATAAATGCTTGGTATGCAAAATCCAGCAGTCTTAACTCTTTTGAGACCACGCATATTGCAAAACTATAATACTGGTAACTTTTTAAACTATGTACAGGAACTTTCTGCTTGGAATAATAATCCCTGCATTTGATATACCGCATTATCACATCTTTGAGATGTCTCAAAGCGCTTCACATTCAAGATCCTCATCCTCACCTACAAGGCCATTCACGGCCTTGCTCTCTCCTACCTCTCCGACCTACTATCCCCCTACCTACCTGCCCGTACCCTCCGTTCCTCTAGCTCTGGTCTGCTCCACATCCCCCGCCCCAACCGCCCTACCATCGGTGGCCGGGCCTTCAGCCTCTCAGCCCCGAGAACTCTATCCCCCAGTGCCTTCGCCTTGCTTCCTCCCTTTCCTCCTTCAAGGCCGGTCTCAAGACCTTTCTCTTTGACCGTGCCTTCAGCTCCCCTCTCAACTCTCTACCCCCTCCTCGCTCCCTCCCTTCCCTCCCCTCACCCTGACCATTTCCCCCCTGCTCGGGTCCTGACCCAACTGTCCAGCGCCTTGGGAATTCCTCCCGACATGAAAGGCGCTCTATAAATGGAATCTTGTTGTTGTTCACAGAAGTACAATGATACCTTTCGCAAACAGTCATCTTATACTATAATGCAATAATAGTTACATTTTAATAAGGCACCCTGTGAGAGGAATCAGAGACATTACCCCCTTATCAGCACCTTCACTTCTGCACCATTTTCCTGTCCCCCGAGACATCTAGTGTCCAACTGACTGAGCTATCCCCACGGGAAGCAAGGCACGCTGTTAATTCATTACTAAATTATAGTCAACGTCACAAATGAAGAGATACATGGTATCTCACAGTTAGATGCAACTATTCTCCAATTACAACAAAAACTTTTGAACAAATGCTTTCAGTACAATATATCTGGTTTCAAGATCACAGCTCAAATAAAGTTTGCATATATACACAGCAAACTTCGTCATAAAATGGCCAGAGACAAAGTAATAAAATGCAAGCGAAAAGAAAGGTATGTCAGGCCTGAAACATAGAGCAGGAGGGGTGAGGTGGAGGAACATTGACATGAGCAATAAACTTGAAGGGAAGTAAATTGGCCCATTTGGTAGTGCATGTTCAGGTTACAACAACAACTTGCATTTATATAGTGTCCTTCACCTCAGAGGGCATCTCGGAGTGCTTACAAATACATAATGAAATTAAGATTACACTTTTATATTTTTAGCATGACTGATAGCTTCACTCTATAGCTCCTGCAAATAAGATATTCCACTTTGAACCATACATTAAAAATCATTTACTTGGGAGGGAAAAGGAAGGCTACAGTGCTGATGAAGATATCACCTCCCTTTCCCAAATCCAGATTAACCACAAGAAATTTGCTTAAAAAAATCAAGGCATTATTTGATTTTGAAATACTATACATTTCAAAACTATGGAAGTTAATAATAATAATCCTTGCATTTGATATAGCGCCTTATCACACCTTTGAGACTTCTCACGGAATATACTGTATATTTTGTTAGTTACATAGCTTTCACAACTCAAGCTTATTTAATTTATGGTGGGCCTTTATTGGAGTTGTGCAAATGTGTACACAAGACGCGTACAGCACTGGAATCAGCAACAATAACGTCCATAGTTATACGGTCCGCACAACTGCACCCGTTCATTGCTTCGGCCCACAAATGAAGAGTGGCCATTACAGCAAAGTACTGGAAAGGTATCGGTACAATTGCACTGTAACCTCTGTATACTGAGGGCAACAAGGTGGCATGTGAAAGATGAGGACTGGACAACAATCCAAAGCAGAAAATTGAACTGAACTATTTCACTCATATTCTAGCCAGTATGTTAGAAGTTTTTTTAAGCGCATGTTAAAATCACCCAACAGAACCAGTGGCCATTATGTACAAGCTACGCAGAGGCAAGCTCGAAATACTCTTTCTTCCTACTGGAGGAATTCCAGCCCGTCTTCTTTATGCAAAGGCACATACACCCACCGCCATCTTACACCTGTGCCCCTGACAAACTTTGTTCTTCGAAGCGCACAAACTTGGGGAACCGTCCCGGTTGACTGACACGGGCGGGAGCCAATGGCAAGTCGGGATTCCGCCGACAGTCCGAGGAGCCGCCAATGAGCGCGGGACGTTGGGCGAGAAGGGGGCGGGACTTGACGACCAGCAGGTTAGAGTGGCGCTGGGGTCGGACTGGCTCTCGGCGGAGGCGCCTCCGGGTCTCAGGTGGCGGCTGCGGACGTTCTGCCTCGGCCCCGAGGGCGGGCAGACAGACAGACAGACAGACCGGCAACGGCACGGGCGCCATTGCGGCCGAGAGCGGTTGTGAAGCCGAGGGCAGGGGCGCTGAGCCCGAGCGGCGGTTGCTCTGGGTTGGTGCCGACCGACGGGGACACTAGGCCGCGCGCGGCTGTGGACAACCCCGGGGTCGGAGCCGCCGTCAACCCCTCTTCCCCGTCTCCTTACCAGGGCGGCCCTATTACACTTCGGCGGCTCTCTCGGGCTGGCGCGGCTCCCGCTGATCGCTGGGTGTTGGGTCCCGGGCCCCGGTGACTGGCGGCTCTCAGTGCAGGTGTGACGCTCCCCTCAACAGCGCTGTCCGCCCCACCATGAGTGTAAACATCCCGGCATCCCCCGCGACAGGGGGCGGGGCCGCTCCAGCCCCGAGCAGCCACCTGGACTGAAACCTCCCCCCAACACTCCCCCCGCCCTCCCCCAACACTCCCCCGCCCCCCCCACACTCCCCCAACACTCCCCCCGCCCCCCCAACACTCCCCCGCCCCCCCAACACTCCCCCGCCCCCCCAACACTCCCCCGCCCTCCCCAACACTCCCCCCGCCCCCCCCAACACTCCCTCCGCCCCCCCAACACTCCCCCCAACACTCCCCCCCCCCCCCGCCCTCCCCCAACACTCCCCCCGCCCCCCCCAACACTCCCCCCGCCCCCCCACACTCCCCCCGCCCCCCCCCAACACTCCCCCCGCCCCCCCCAACACTCCCCCCGCCCTCCCCCCCAACACTCCCCCCCCCCTCCCCCGCCCCCCCCAACACTCCCCCGCCCTCCCCCAACACTCCCCCCGCCCCCCCCAACACTCCCCCCGCCTCCCCCCCAACACTCCCCCGCCCCCCCCAACACTCCCCTGCCCTCCCCTCCAACACTCCCCCCGCCCCCCCCAACACTCCCCCCGCCCTCCCCCCAACACTCCCCCCGCCACTCCCTCCACCCCAACACTCCCCCTGCCCTCCCCCCAACACTCCCCCCGCCACCCCCAACACTCCCCCCGCCCCCCCCAACACTCCCCCCGCCACTCCCTCCACCCACAACCTCCCCTGCCCTCCCCCCCAACACTCCCCCGCCCTCCCCCCCAACACTCCCCCGCCCCCCAACACTCCCCCCCGCTCTCCCCCCAACACTCCCCGCCCCCCCCAACACTCCCCCCCCCCCCCAACACTCCCCCGCCCCCCCCAACACTCCCCCGCCCCCCCAACACTCCCCCCGCCCTCCCCCAACAACCCCCGCCCTCCCCCAACATCCCCCCCCGCCCCCCCAACCTCCCCCCGCCCCCCCCAACACTCCCCCGCCCCCCCAACACTCCCCCCGCCCCCCCCAACACTCCCCCGCCCCCCCAACACTCCCCCCGCCCTCCCCCAACACTCCCCCCGCCCCCCATACTCCCCCGCCCCCCAACACTCCCCCGCCCTCCCCAACACTCCCTCCGCCCTCCCCCCAACACTCCCCCCCGCCCTCCCCCCAACACTCCCCCCGCCCCCCCAACACTCCCCCGCCCTCCCCCCAACACTCCCCCGCCCTCCCCCAACACTCCCCCGCCACTCCTCCACCCCAACACTCCCCCGCCCCCCCCAACACTCCCCCCGCTCTCCCCCCCCAACACTCCCCCCGCCCCCCCCCAACACTCCCCCGCCTCCCCCAACACTCCCCCCGCCCCCCCCCAACACTCCCCCGCCCCCCAACACTCCCCCCGCCCTCCCCCAACACTCCCCCAGCCCTCCCCCAACACTCCCCCGCCCTCCCCCCAACACTCCCCCCGCCCCCCCAACACTCCCCCCCCCCCCAACACACCCCCGCCCTCCCCCAACACTCCCCCCGCCCTCCCCCAACACTCCCCCCGCCCCCCCCCAACACTCCCCCCGCCTCCCCCAACACTCCCCCACCACTCCCTCCACCCCCAACACTCCCCCTGCCCTCCCCCCAACACTCCCCCTGCCCTCCCCCCCAACACTCCCCCCGCCCCCCCAACAGTCCCCCGCCCCCCCCAACACTCCCCCGCCCTCCCCCCAACACTCCCCCCCACTCCCCCCCCCCAACACTCCCCCTGCCCTCCCCCCCATACTCCCCCCGCCCCCCCAACACTCCCCCCCCCCCCCCAACACTCCCTCCCCCCCCCCAACACTCCCCCCGCCCTCCCCCAACACTCCCCCGCCCCCCCAACACTCCCCCCGCCCTCCCCCCAACACTCCCCCCGCCCTCCCCCCAACACTCCCCCCGCCACTCCCTCCACCCCAACACTCCCCCGCCCCCCCAACACTCCCCCCGCTCTCCCCCCAACACTCCCCCCGCCCCCCCCAACACTCCCCCCGCTCTCCCCCCAACACTCCCCCGCCCCCCCCCAACACTCCCCCGCCCTCCCCCAACACTCCCCCCGCCCCCCAACACTCCCCCCGCCCTCCCCCCAACACTCCCCCAGCCCCCCCCAACACTCCCCCCGCCCTCCCCCAACACTCCCCCCGCCCCCCCAACACTCCCCCGCCCCCCAACACACCCCCGCCCTCCCCCCAACACTCCCCCCCCCCCCAACACTCCCCCGCCCTCCCCCCCAACACTCCCACCGCCCTCCCCCCCAACACTCCCCCCGCCCTCCCCCAACACTCCCCCGCCCTCCCCCCAACACTCCCCCGAGCCCCCAACACTCCCCCGCCACTCCCTCCAACACTCCTCCACCCCAACACTCCCCCGCCCCCCAACACTCCCCCGCCACTCCCCCCACCCCCAACACTCCTCCCGCCCCCCAACACTCCCCCACCCCCAACACTCCCCCGCCCACCCCAACACTCCCCCGCCACTCCCCCGCCCCCTCCAACACTCCCCCCGCCCCCTCCAACACTCCCCCACCCCCAACACTCCCGGGGATAAGAATCCTTCAAAAATAATAATAATAAATTGGTTACTTCAATCCACAACTGTTTGTGGGACGCTGCTGTGCGCAATTGGCTGCTGCGCGCAATTGGCTGCTGCGTTTCACCCACAAAATATACAGTCAATTCACTTTACAGTATATTCTGTGAAGCACTTTGAGATGTCTCAAAGACATGATAAGGCGCTATATCAAATGCAAGAATTATTTATTATTATAATCACAAGATTAAATCATAATATTTGTCAATAATATCTGTGTTGGCAAAGTTGATCAAAATGGTCACCTGTGCTTGTCTAGAGTCAGTGGCGGTTGCAATTGTAAACCTTAAACCATTTTCTCTCACAACCTGCTCCTACCTCTTGTGTGGATTTGTACTGTAAGAGTGGTGCAGTTGAGGTTCCCAAATCTCCATCTCAGCCAAAACAAGAGATGCGGCTAATATACCAGAAGAGAGTGCTTTACAATAATTTGTAGTGTTTTATTTTAGTTTTTAATAATCATATCCATTTACCTTTCCTAAAATTGCTTCCTATTTCCTTCTCTTTTTCTGGAACATGGACAAGTCTTTTGATGTTCCAGCGCCTTGGGCGTCCTAATGACGTGAAGCATGCTATACAAATGTAATTTTGTTGTTGTTGTTGTTCCATGCAGCCTGCTCTGTGTCTTTCAGTGCACCAATACAAGATTCACAGGACAATGCAGAATTTTTTTACTGCACTATGTTTACCAACCAGAAGAGCTGTCGTCCTGACATAGCTCCTTTAAACGGTCTTCGCGATCAGCAATTTCAGCCTGTGAGCCAGTAATTAACAATGTAAACAAGCCATCTGTCTGGCAGTGTCCAGCATGGCACCAGCCTGTGAGTGCTTGGAATCAGTTGAAAATATAGCTGTGAGCTGGTAGTTGGATTTTGCCATTGTAACAATTTACGTGGTGCCATTATTTCTCTTCTCAGCAAAGCAGTGCTTCTTTCAGGTGCTGGAATAAAAAGTTCTTACCAATATCTGATTTTGGTGTGTGCTGAACACAAGACAGTAACAAAATTATTTGGATAATGCAGATATAAAAACAGAGATTTCAACAGGACCAAAACACATCACAGCATCCCTGAGAGTCAAACAATTGAACAGGAAGTACTGTCATTAATAGAGAAAGAAATGGCTGAGAATCATTCCCACACTTTAAATAGGGAGGTAAGAAAAGGAATCTCTTCAGCACTGAGGTTTCGCTTCCCCTTCAAATGGCACCCAAATAAAGTATCATTACATCACATCCTGGGCATTGAAACTAAATTCATAAACATATTTGGTTTTCTCGACATTTTTTGCTCTTTTTGTCTCTTTGTTAATGGAAACCGCAGAAAAGCAAAACAGAAGACAAATGGTTACATTACCTATAAGTGTCAGTGAAATAATCCTGAGCATAAAAAGAAAGTCCAGTAATGTTTAAAATGGAGGATTACATATTTTCCAACCTCTGACACAATCTTCTGCTCCACACCAAAAAGTTCAGTTTTGACAGCAATTAGCCTTTGACTTTGATGCAACAATATTACTTAGGTACATTAAGCAAAAGTATTTATTTGATCTTACTCTCACACACATGCAAAAAAAAGCAGGATACCTTTATCACACCAGCAACATGCTCAACAACCTGGAAATGCCTTAACAGCAATTATTGTAGTTTTACACTTCAGGGATAATGTAATGTGCAGTGTAACATTGGTTAATGAGGGCAAATCAGTCAGATAAATCTATACAAATGAGATTGTTTGAGTTTTGCTCACGTTATTTTGCTTTTCTTGATCTTAACATACCTTCAATGTACAAGTCCAACTGGTAACAGATTCCCAATATATTGCTATACAAAATTGCCAAACAACCAGCCACTGGTAGGTGTGGGAGTGATTCAATCACTGGATTCAATCAGTGGAGTCCTGTAGCTCAGTGGTTAGAGCACTCGCTTTGCAAGTGAGAGACCTGAGTTCAATTCCAGGCAGAGGGCGAAACCTTGGGCAAGTTTCCTTACTCCACACAGAGCCTAATAATAATCCCTCCAAAACCAAAAACAATAATAAATTGGTCATTTTCAATCTACGACTGTTTGTGGGACATTGCTGTGCGCAATTGGCTGCCGCGTTCGCCCACAAATATACAGTCAATTCACTTTACAGTGTGTTCTGTGAAGCGCTTTGGGACGTCCTCCCGACGTGAAAAGCGCTATATCAAATGCAAGGATTATTATTATTATCATTATAATCGTTTTCCTCTCCTCTCAAGTAAAGAATGCTATTGTGGAGATTCATGAAGAAGAAACAATTGTATCAATCGAAAAAGCACATCATCAGCCTGTACCACCAGGACTCAGTGTTTATACTGTCATTTCAGAATTCAACAGTGTCTGAGTGTTATGTTAAAAGAGAACAGAATTATTTACACAAGAATGAGCACACACTATGCACAATGAATAAGCATTTC